CGTAACGGTCAGCAGGACCTTCGTTGCGGTCCTGGTCTCCGTTGGTCTGCGCCCCGTAGCCGTCGTTGTAGCCGCAGCCGGGGCTGCTGATCTTGCGGCATAGCTAGGGCCGGTAGACGGTCCTCGGCCGCCCACTGCGTTGCCGTAGTCCCCGAAACCACGTGGCTCATCGAAGGGGTTGAGAGAACCTCCGGCAACGGTTGAGGCGGTAGCGACACATGTCGAAGGTTCGAAAAGAACGAAAGGAAAAAAAAAGAATCAACAGTTGTCTTCTGGAGAGGCTTCTACAAGAAAGCGTCGGTACGTTGGGCGCGGCAATAGACTGGCTAAATTTGCGAGCACACTGTCGGTGTATATCGCACAGAACTACGCGCACAATCTGTATGGTGCGGAAACTAGTTCTCGTCAAAGCCTAATGCAACGCGCTTTTTTTAAGTCTTCGTCTTCGTCTTCGTTACCAACATCAAAAAGAGTCCTCGCAGAATTAAGTTTATTTTTAATTATAACCCGGATCGGCATCACTCTCCACCTGCGAGAGAACTTCGTCATCCGATTCATAATACCGTTTGAGGTTGGTGACATGAACGGGTCCAGCGAGTCGTCCAGACTCACAATGAACGAGCGTGTACGTGAGTCACAGAGCCCACCCGACTCCCGGACCCGGTGGAGAGGGCCTGACCCGACGTGGCGAACCGGAGAGGGGCCTGACCCGACGTCCATGGACCTGATGGCTCGGGTGGCCAACCTGTGCGACACGGTCGCGCAACGCCTGGTCCTGGCTGACCACGGACCCCAAGGGCAAGGGCCACGACCCCAAGTGCCGGTTCCGTTGTACACGGGCTACGACGACCGGAAGTCCGTGGCCGACTTCCTGGCCGAGCTGGCGGCCTATAAGCTCGCCACGGGAGCCTCGGACGAGTACGTCCTTGCGCGGGTGCTGCCCGTGGCGTTCCAGGCTAGCGCCGCGCGCTGGTGGCGCATCGTGGCCCCCTTCCTCACCTGGGAAGACTTTCGGCGGAAGTTTCAAGATGAGTTTCTTCCCCCTGGGTACCAGTCTCGAGTCCAGCGAGAACTGGAGCGCCGGACCCAGCACCCGGACGAGACCCTCGTCGAATATGTACGGGTGATGCAGGAGCTCTATAAAAGAGCCTGCCCAACGACGTAGGAGTCGGACAGGGTTGCTCGGGTGATGCAGCAGAGCCACCCAAGATTCCGGCCCTACCTGCATGGCCGCACGTATTCCACCCTGGAGCAACTGGCCCGGGACGCTCACGGCATACAAGAGACGCTCCTGGCCGAGCTGCAATATCGGCCCCCGCCACCGCCTGAAGAAGCTCTTGAGCCGTCCTGTGCCTGGCGAGCTCCCGGGCCCAAAAGAGGTCCGACTCAGCGCCAAACCCTGGATGGCGCGGTCTGTCCCCCCCGTGCGCTGGACTCCTACGCCTTCGGGCAATGGGGGCGCGGGAGACCACTCGATGGTTCGGACCCCCGGCTACGTGCCCGGCCGGCTGGATCGAGACTACGGCAGGGTGAAAGCCGTTTAAGGTCCTTCCCCCGCAATGCCAACCGGGGCGCCGATCGCTGGTCCAACGAGGGACACCAAGAAGGGCCGCAACGACAAGCGCAGGCAAGCCAGACGCACGGCCCTGACCGGCGCAACTCTGTGCGGTGCTTCGGCTGCGGTCGCCATGGCCACTTCCGGCGTGACTGCCCCGACCTACTGCGCAACAGCAATGCAGCCTCGGGAAACGAGTACGGCCGGTGGCGTTGACCCGTGAACACCTGCCGGCCGCGATGACCATGGACAACTCGGCAAAACTTCCATCGGTATGTCGAATTCAGCCTGACCTTGAGCTAATTGAGCCTCGTATGACAGTTACAGTGCTCGGAGTAGCTGTGGCAGCGCTGATTGATACCGGTGCGAGTCAGTCGCTTATTGGGGACTACCTGATTGAACGCTGCAAAGAACAGAAAGCTAACCTGAGTGAGACTAACGTGCGCTTACAGCTAGCGTCAGGACCAGAAATGCTCGCGAGTCAAGCCGTGAGGTTACAGATCGGGCTTAACGAGAAAAAACGCCGTCAGCGTTTCGTTTGCTTACCTGGTCTCACGGTACCGATTATTTTGGGGCGAGATTTCATTTTCGGGGAGAACCTGGTTCTGGACTTTCCGAACAAAGGCTACCGGTTGGGTAGTGACGCGCAACTGATCCCATTTACTAGACGAGAGGATTGTGTCGTCAGTGTCGATAACGTTGGCGTTAGAACGCCTGCTCTGCGGCTCCCATGTGCGGTAAGCGCTTCTTTGCAGAAGTGTCCTGCTACGGACCAGCAAAAGTCGCGTCTCCAAAGACTCCTTGAGGAGTTTTCACCGATGTTCACGGAGAACCCCGGCAGAACCGGTGTCTTAAAGCACTCAATTGACACCGGGAATACACGGCCTCTACGCTGCAACCCTCGACCAATCAGCGTACACAAGCGAGCCCTGCTGGACAAGGCGCTCCAAGAGATGATCGACACGGGTGCAGTACGTGAGTCACAGAGCCCTTGGGCCTTCCCGATCGTCCTTGCCCCCAAGAAGGATGGAACGGCTCGGCTTTGCGTCGACTCCCGGGGCCTGAATGCGGTAACCGTTCGTGACGCGTACCCATACCCCTCGATTGAGTCGATCATGTACAACTTGGGAAACGCGAGTTTTTTCACGACTCTTGACTGCAGTCGCGGTTTCCTCCAGATAGAGGTCGAACCCGCTGACATCGAGAAAACAGCATTCACATGCTACAGAGGATTGTACGAGTTTGTGCGCATGCCTTTTGGCTTGAGCAACTCTCCTGCCACATTCCAGCGTCTTATGGACATTGTGCTTGGAGACGCACGGCACAACTACGCCATGGCATATATGGATGACGTAGTAGTCTTTTCACGCACGTTTGAAGAACATCTTGTGCACCTTCGGACTATTCTCGAACGCATGCAGAATGCTGGTTTGACAGTTCACCCGGGAAAAATGCAACTGGCAACATCTAAGATTAACCTGCTCGGTTTTGTAATCGACGATGGATCGCTTCGCCCTAATGAGGACAAGCTGAGGGCCATAACTGAGTTTCCTCCCCCACATGATGCAAAGAGTTTGCAGAGATTTCTTGGCATGGTTGGATTTTACCGCCAGTTTATTCCCCACTGTGCAGAGATAACGCGGCCTCTGAACGAACTGCTGCGCAAAGGCGTCAAATGGCGTTGGACGGAGGCACAGCAAAATGCTTTCCTTCAACTGTCCAGAGCTATTGCTATCTTTGAAGCTCCCAGATCTCAACCGTCCGTTTGTGCTGCAAACCGATGCGAGCGGCTACGGTTTAGGTGCTGTGCTGCTTCAAGACTTTGATGGTGTCTTACGACCCGTAGCGTTTGCTAGCCATACGTTGACAGCAGCTCAGCGGAATTACAACGTTTGCGAGCTTGAGTGCCTAGCCATCATATTCGCCCTGCAGAAATTCAACATGTATCTTGATGGCGCGCGCTTTGTGATCCAGTCGGATAATGCCGCCTTGTCTTGGCTTCAGCGGCTGGAAAATCCGGCAGGACGATTAGCACGCTGGGCACTTACGCTTCAGAAATATGACTATACCATTGTGCACAAGCCAGGCTCACAAAACAAAGTTGCAGACACTTTGTCGCGCGCTCCGCTCGGCGAAGAGCACGTGCCCGAGGATGCCGATGTTGTGGCTGCGATAGATGCTGGCTCGCGCTGGGGTACTTTGATTAGCCGAGATGAGCTTCGTGCTGCACAGCAGAACGATGGACTTTGTCGCAGGGTCTCTGAGTGGTTATCTTCACGTGACCGACGTGGCAACAGAGACGCTGACATGGGTTTTGACTCGTACTTGCTGGCCGAAGACGGTCTGCTCCTCCGGTACATACCTCAGATAGACGGCGAGGAGGGTGGCTCCACGGACACTCCATTTCGAGCCGTGATACCTCGCCGACTTCGCACGTCCTTCAATAGATACTACCATGACTCTGCTTTGGCTGGTCACAGTAGTGGCTGCAAGACTTTCGAAAAGTTAAGCCGTACTGCAACTTGGCCAGGAATTCGTCAGGACGTGCTGAGGTACGCTCGTTCATGCCCAGTTTGTCAGAAAGCCAAACCGCGCGGTGGTCAGCCCCCTGGTCTCATGCAGCCAGTCGTGAGTCGGTCCCCATGGGAATGCGTTGCTGTCGACGTCATGGGCCCTTTCCCACGCAGTCCGCGTGGCAACCAGTACTTGTTGGTTGTCACGGATCACTTTAGCAAGTGGGTGGAGCTATTTGCATTACGGTCGCTGACGTCCAAAAGAATCTGGTCGTGTCTGATGGAGACGTTCACACGCTTCGGATTTCCGGCGAAATTGATTAGCGACAACGCTACTTACTTTGCCAGCAAAGTGTTCCGAGACTCATGTGCCGCATTGGGCATACAACACAAGCGGACGTCTCCCTATCACCCACAGGCAAACATCACGGAGCGGGTGAACCGAAACCTGAAATCGATGCTAATAGCTCACACCGAATGTCACCCTGACTGGGACGCAAAGCTCCCAGAGCTCGCGTTCGCAACACGCACAACCGTTAACCGGTCTACAGGTTTTACGCCAGCTTGCCTTAATTTCGGAAAGGAGCTGACTTTCCCGCTGGAAAACACTTGCACGACCAACAACCGTGGCGCTGCTCGCTCATACGGTCAGCTTGCAGGAAGCCTACGACACAGACTCAGGAACATCGTTCGTGATGCCCGGGAGAGCTTGGACGCCGCACGGTTTCAGCAGGCATATATATGTGTATATATATATATGTGTGTATATATATATATATATATATATATATATATATATATATATGTGTATATATATATATATATGTGTGTATATATATATATATGTGTGTATATATATATATATATGTGTGTATATATATATATATATATATGTGTGTATATATATATATGTGTGTATATATATCTTTTTGGAGGGGGGGGGGGGGGGTTGGGTGGTGGAAGAAGTACCAAAGAGTAAGCGAGATAGGAAGTGTAAGAGCAAGAGACTTCAGCGCAAAAGTAGAGCGAGCAGATGTAGCATACGTAAACATACAGAGAGAGGTACGAGCAGGTTAAAATGAGAGGATACAGAAGAGAAACTAAGAAAGGAAGATTTAATTGTATATATGGGTTAGTTGAGACGTATCTTAGAGACGCCGAGCAACCCCCTTACAATCCTGATTACACATGGAACACAGCAATGAAACGGAGGGCAGCAGGAAAAGAGGCGGGATTGGAGCGTGTTTTAGAAAAAGTGCTGAGTGGCATAGAGTCGGAGAAGAACGCACGGAACATTGATGGCTAAAAGGGGCTTTCAGGGGTACCGGTCCTTCTTAGATTTGTGTACCTCTGAACACAAATCTAGGGGTAAATGCTAAAGAGGAGAACAGCAAAGTGGTAGAATGTATTTCAAAATACATTATTTAACTAGGAGAACATCACGAAGTAATTATCCTAGGGGACATAAAGGCTTATTTAGATGCTTATTTAGAAGACCTGGATGGGTACACAGATTCGACAAGAAACATGCTCCTGGAAATGTGTGAAAGACATTACTTAGTATGTTTATGCAATACCGGTGAGAAGTCTGACTGGCTAAGAACATGGGAAACGGGTAGTATATATTGTACAGTAAATCACACACTGATGTCAAATGGAATGTATAGTAGGCTACAGACAATGAAAATAGATGAAGAGAGTTCAAGAAGCCTCGGTAGTGATCACAAACGAATTAAGCTGAGCTTTACTGGGGAAGGAAACGCAAGGACAGAGCAAGACAAACCAGACCAAACATTTTATACAGAGAAGCAGTCAAAAGTATAGTCGTTAAGAAAATAGGAGATAATTTCTGGGGATACTCAAAAGGATTGAAGTTACCCAAGGCTAACTAAGCTATTCGAACAAGAGCTGTCTAATGTATGCAATAAAAGAAGGGGCAAGCGAAGACGGAAATCTAAGAGCTGGTGGGACGATGACGTAAAGAAGGCAATTGAGAAACGTCAAGAAGCTTTCTGAAAACACATATACTCTCAGTGCAATGGGGAACCAGAAAGTGAGGTCAACAAGAGGTTGGAATTTAAAAGATTCAAATTGGAGGGGGGGGGGGGAAGGGCGGGGGGTCACAATGGCTGTCTAAAGTAAATATAAAATATAGAAAGGCAGCCACAAAGTTTTGGAACCACTTGAATTCACTAAGTCATAAAGTAAACCAAAGTCAGAGCAGTATATTGTCATGCCTGAGGGTAGTCAGCTTGAAGGCGATGTGGCAATGATATATATATAGGGCTTGCATTGATGTCACGTCAGCCGCCATTGCTCCGTATAATGGTCCAGTGTCCGTACCTTTTGCGGCATACATTTGGCACCATCGAATCTGTTCTTCTTCTCCGACAGCCTTTTTAAAAATAACAAATTCGGATTTTGCGACATGTATGCTGCAGAGGATACGGGCACAGGAGCGTGGTATGGTGCAATGACGGCTGGTACAGTGCCATATGACGTCACATGCAAGCCATATATAGGAGCAGTAATAACACAGAAGTTAAAGCAGCAAGGATAGATGGGAAGCGCCTTACCAGAGAAGGACAAAAAAAAATAGGAAAGAGCAGAACGGGGGGTTCCTGGGGGTACATCAACAGGTGCAGATGGTATACCAATAAAGTTGGTTGCGTATGTTCTACACAAGCACCAAGAAAGCGTCGCCCAGAACAATACTGGGAAACCGAGTGCCAATACTCTAAGCGTAGCTCATATAGTGGCTTTAACCGCTTCCAATGTTACAAGCACAAGAGCACGTGGTCACGGATCTGAAGCATTCTTTCGCCGAACAAGCACTCGCGATAGAAAGCCACGTCCGAAATACAGGGGTACGGGCTAGCTCATGCTTGCAGTTTTGGCTGCAGCCTCAGCTTACGGAACATGCCATCACTTTTCCACCCTAAGGCAGGCCATGTTTAAGCGTTAATCAAATCAAACGTTGCTCTCGGTATCGCAGGCTGGCGTGTCTTCCCAAACGACACCTCGATCTCTTCCAGCGTCTTTCCTTTCGTCTCTGGAATAAAAAGCAGCACCAGCAAAAACCCTAGCGCCATGTTAGCACCGTAGAACCAGTACAAACCGTCGTTACCCAATAAGTACATCGCGGAGTGATACTCTCTCGCGATCAGGGCGCCACACCCGAAGTTGAAGGCGGTCGAGATGCCCGTCGCAAAGCCCTTGATGTCCGGCGGCAGCATTTCGCCCATCAACATCCACGGCAACGGGCCCAGCCCCACAGAATAGCCCAGCATGAACACACACAACGCCAACAGTGGCAGCCAGCCGTACGCCGCGACGAAGCTAGGCCCGACGCTGTCCTTGAGGTGATAAAAGGCCCCCAGGACGACCAGGCTTAAGCAGCACACGCTACAAGAAAATAGCAGAAGTATCTTCCGGCCGAGACGATCAATGAGCAAAGTGCCCAAGACCCCACACGCGACCTGCACCCCGCCGACGATGATGGCACTGTCTGCGGACGCTATCGTCGACCCCGCCGTCTCGAAGATGTCTTGGGTGTAGAACAGCACAATGCTGATGCCGGAGAACTGCTGGAGGATCATACCAAAGAGCACGCATAAGAAGGGCTTGTAAATGTGCGGAAGCTTGAAGACGGCCAGTGAGAACGCCTCAGGGACGGACGAGTGGGACTGCAGCATCTCGAAGCTCTCCTTGGCGCCGTCGCCTTCGTAGAACTGCAGAGACCTCATGGCTTCCTCCGAGCGCCCGGACTGGAAAAGCCAGCGGGGAGACTCCGCTACCTTGGGCATTATGAGCACGTTGATGACTGTGGGGACCATGCACGCTGTGGCCAGCCATCTGTAGTCGAGCCACTTGCCCAGGACGTACGCCAGTAGCATTCCGGAAGTGGCGGCGATGTTGCAGACGGTGTTTAGGATGCCCCGGATATCGGCGGGGCTGACTTCCGACACGAAGACCGGAACCACGAGTGCCGTCATGCCCGTCGAAAAGCCGGTCAGTGCACGGCCGGCGAACATTAGTCCCGGATTGGGTAGCATCTCGATGAGCAGGAAACCCAGGACAAAACCCGGCACAGCGAAAAGGATTATGTCCTTCCGGCCGATTCTGTTAACGAGTTGCCCTGCAAAGATGAAGAGTGCATTTCGTGTGTTATAGGGACATCGATTATGCCTGACAGTTTAAAAAATCAGGGGCATGGCAAATCCGTGCCGAAAATCATATTATCACTCCGCAAACACTATCCGATAGCAACGCCGAAGAACGAAGCACGGTGCAAAGCTACGCTGATTGGTTCATTACGAAGTCTATAACAATACTCTAAAACAAGGGACAAAAACTGGGTATCTTGCTTCTTGTCACGTTATAGGCGCTGTTACTGTTTTATAACTATAAATTACAAAGGTAGGTAGTCATTCATTGGCGATAGATCTATTACCGATCACCTATCCATTTATTTGTTTCTACTTGGCGATTGTGCACACTTCTACCACTGCTGCCATTCGTTCCTGCTTAAAGTAACAAAGTTACCGGAAAAAGTAAAGATTTACGAATATCGCGACATTACCGACTCGGATGCTGCGATTTATACATGCGATTTTACAGTTGCAACGTTGCAACGTTGCTGGTGTAGCAAAAAAAAAAATGTTTTCTGGGAGTAGAGGGTTTAAAGAGATGCTGAACCAAACATTTCAGTGTCTATAATAAGTGGCGCACGATCTTTCCATGAGCTAGCAGCTGCCGGTGTGCGCGAGCACACGCAACGAAATTGACGTCATATTCCCCCATTCGCGCTTAAGATGACAGTGAAATAATAAATAAATAATAAATAAATGAACTTTATTTTTCATTACCCATTACAGGTAATGATGGGGCCGAGAATAAAAGCCGCGACAGACGGTTTGACAAGCCCTCGGCCCCAGTGACATTCTGCAGCAGTCACAGAGAACATTCAAACAAAGCACAAAGGTATTCAGTCAAAGAACAACCACATTCAACCGATATCAATAACCCTGTCAATTTTCGAAGCAATATAAATATATCAGATTTACGTTTGCATAATAATTAAATGAATGGGCTTTGGGCCAAAAAAGAATAAAAACAAGCTTTTCATCTGCACAAGTAAAAACTACCTGCTCGCTTAGCTTTTACACCAGACCCCACTGTAGAGATGAAAAGCTTGTCTTTATTCTCTTTTTCACTGAAGCCCACACATTTCACTGTCATATTAAGCTTGAATGGAGGATCACGCCGTCGATTTCCTCGCGTGTGCTCGCGCACACCGGCGGCGGCTGGCTCGTGGAAAGATCGTGCGCCACTAACTATAGACAATTGCAAGCTGGGCGACTGGCCGCCGCCATGTCTCTGCTCGAGCAGGCACGCCCGTGCGATTACGAGCTTGCCAAAGCTACGTTCACCCGCGCCTTGCACGCGCTTGCACGCATGGGGCACCACTTGTGGCGCCATGCGTGCAATTGTCTATAGACACTGGAATGTTTGGTTCAGCATCCCTTTAAAATGGTAACTGCAAGATCGCAAGAACAATGGCAACATGGGGATCGAGCTTCACTCGTTGCCAGGAGCACCGCGTAATGCCCAAGTCTGGACGTGTGCGGCCTGCGGTACACTACCTCCTGCGAGTCCCCCGAAGAGCGCTCCGATCGTGACGAGCGATCCAAACCAGTCCCCCTGGCTGTCGCTGAAGGGCATCCGGCGTCGGATGTCCGGCAGGGCAGGCGACGAGTAGCTTAGCGTCAGGCCACAAGACAGCGTCGCAATACAGGCCGAGCTCACCGCCAGGTAGAGGCCCACACGGCCCCGCCGTCCATGCGAATCGGACTCCGTCAGGGCGGTGTTGTCGTCCATGTGGAGCCGTTGATCCCCCGAGAAAAACAATAAAATCAAATCATTTTTGTTTTTCTTTTTTTATTTTGGGGGGGGGGGGGGGGGTGAGAAGTGTGGTGTTTGGAGCACATCTCCGACTGGTTAGTTTACCTCAGAATTTCGACCCGGAACAGAACTGAACCGAACTAATATCGAACCGCTATTTTAAATTTTAGTCGAACCGGCGCTGAACCGAAATCGTTCGCCGTCACCTTGGAAGGGAACCGGAACTTAACCAGAAAAAAACATTTAACGGTAACTGATTAAAAAAGAGTTCAGCCCAGTATTTATATTTTTTGTTGTTAATACTACGAATTGAATACTTGAGAATAAAACAATAGGCAGCTTTACCTTATTTACCTATAAAATCGCCATACACAAAATTGCAGTGAATAAGAAATGGTGGCCCTTCATTGCCTTTTTTTTTTGGCATTCTGATCAATCAGGTCACGTCAAGTGTCACATGATATCGTGCGGCGTGGACACGTGACATCACGGCGTCAAGTACGGACTTGTGAAAATAAAGTGTCTAGAACTAAACCCGTGCCCTACGCGCTGGCATCCCGAGCACGTGGCAATGATGAACATTTTAAATGTTTAGAATAGGCTACCTCAACGCTTTTGGGCCACCTGAGCTGCTCAGTACGTCGCATTGCGCAAGCGCAGACGTTCTGCGCATGCGCAGTGCGAATCCCCAAACTGTTCGTGAAACCCAAAGTGTTGGGGCCGCTATTTTAAAACTTTCTAATAACTTTGGTGTAGTGTCCTTCCAAGCCACCTTCCGACTTTAGTAGAGAAAGCCAATAATGGCGGAAAACACGGAGCGCCATCGTGGTGGTGGGCTCAAAGGGGAGGTGTGGAGGTCGCTCCTTTCTCCCAAGAGCCGTGAACGGTGCCACGCTTCATGTCTCGCATCTTACTGCTAGCTAATCTTCTTTGTTATCCAGCTGCCTCATATTTGTCACGACTAAAGTGGTTCTTGCCGTTGCAACGCTGGTAGTAATTTTTTTTTTGTTGTTGCTAAGTTGGGCATTATATTAGACGGAGAGGGCAAAAAAAAAAGCAAAAGAAAAATAAAGGGTCGTGTTTCGATTTACGACTCAATCATATTCGTACAATGCGCCGAGAGAGTGAGGGGGAGGAGGAGACGTCGGAACGCCGAGCCCTGGTTGGAACGATTAGTGGGTAGACCTAGAGCCATAGCAGACTTTGACTTCACTGCATTTTATCGTGTGAATCCGCAAGTTTACACTTGCGGATTCGCGGGCGGATCCGCGCGGGCGGAAAGTGGATTTTGGAGCCGGGTGGCGAAACCGCCTCGTCGCCAATGGAAAATCTCAATACGGGTCGCGGGCTCACGCAGATCTTCCGTCAGCGTCCTGTCGATTTCGCCACCAGGCTCTAAAATCCACTTTCAGCCTCTGCGGATCCGCCCGTGAATCCGAAAGGGTAAACGCGCCATTATAAGGCGGAACGCCGGCGTCAGGCGTTAGAACGCAGAACGGAGGCGTTTGGCTCTCGCATTCGAACGCGTTCGGCGAATGCAGTGGAGACAAAGGCATCTGGGTTAAAAAGACACTAACAGCGTATTTGTGCCCGCCAAGGTTTTTATTTGAACGTGATCTAGAAGAGCCCAACTACCCAGAACATAATTTGCGGCTCGAAATTCGTATTCTTTCCGCTCGAAAACCACCGGTCGAGAATTGGCCGGTAGGTAATGAGCGCACTCACTCTCATTTTTTTTTTTTTTTTTTACAGTCACACGCATTTAAGTTGATGCATACCAAGTACTATATTCAAGGTCGTGGGTCATCTAAGGCCCCCATTCAATATTAAAAATAGAAAGGAATATCAATTATATTTTCGTGCTTTCCAAAACGTTGCAAATACGTTGACAAAAAAAATCTTTGCACGGATCACGGAAAGTAAATGCACACGTCATTCTCAATATGGCGACGTACTGCGGGCTGGACGACGCAATGGCCGGGCACGGCGGACCAACGTTGCGACCAACGAGCTTGAGTAAACTTAGAGCGGTAAACCAACGGTCAAAAATGGCACCCCCCCCCCCCCCCCCCGGTTGCCGCCATCTTGCCTGTTTGCCACATTAGTGATCACGTGACGTTAAGATGGTTGCGCCCAGAGGTGGGCCAGATCAGATTGGCCAGATCGCGGTCAGCAGATGGGCACTCTGGGGCTGCGTTCGAATCTTACTCGAATGGCGCCAAGTTATTCCGGCGGGTCAAGTCACGTGACAAGACAGATGCAGCAACGCTGGACGTGGGTAGGTTTTCGAGCGCAACGGGTACGATAACTTCACCCAGGAGTGAGATAGATGCTGCGTTCGATTTACTTGTACCTCCTGCGCCGTCGCTTGTCTCGTTGCTCGCATAATCGCTTGCACGAGCCCATAGTTCAATGCTGTGTTCATCAATATTAATTGAGTATAAACCGCATGTAAGCGATTTGGAGAGCGACGAGACAAGCGACGGCGACCCGCTTCGCTGTCGTCCGGTTAGTCGCGCGACGAAGCAAAGCGCATGGAAGCGACGGGAGCAAGCGGCCAAGACGGTGAGCGATGTTTTCTAGAAATCCAAAACCGAGCGACGCGATGGGCGACACTGAGAAATCTCCGTCCCTCCACGCTGACTCTCGTCGTTGTCGCCGTCGTTCGTCTTGTCGCGCGCTTACATGCGGTTCGGCTTCACGGAAACAAGGGCGCACATGCAGCGAGAAGAACAACTTTGATAGCCTTGCTGCGTCAGTTGAAATTCGCACTTGTCGGTATGGTGTTGACTGCCCTATTCGCGACAAAAGCGTAAGAATGTGATGAACTTACATGGTCTCTGAAACCTAGGCCACAATCTTGTATCGACCATCCATTCGCTGTCCGATTACATTTCATAAATAAGAAAATACAAGAGCTATGTTGAAATGTAGATATCAAATGAAAGCCCGAAATATCGAAAAGACTTAAAGAAAACCCAAGATTTCAACGCAGAACGTAAAAGAACACGAAAACAAAGCTCCGGTGGTGGCCGGTGCACCACACAACGCGGAGGAGCAACGGCGAGAAACTGAAGGTCGGCTACGGCGGCCCGGAAAGCGTGCCGACTGGTGACAGCTCAAGTAACTGACTCGCTGAAAGCAACAGATTTGTGAGAATGTTAGTCTTGATATTTTTTATGAAGGGTGTAAATTTCGAAAGTGTATTGAGACTATTGTTTTGGCCTAACATTTCGTTTTTATCTTGTTAAATATTTTAGCGGGGAATATTTTCCGATCAATTTAGCGGGGAAATTTTTCCGCTAAATGAAGCGGGGAAAATTTTCCGCTAAATTTAGCGGCGAACTTTTTCCACTAAATTTAGCGAGAAAATGTTTCCCCGAAATATAGCAGAAAATGTTTTCCGCTAAATTTAGCGGGGCATTTTTTTTGCTGAAGAATGTTTTTCGCTAAAATTTTTTTTTGCTAAATTTAGCGGGTAATATTTTCCGCTAAATTTAACGGGGAAGTTTTTCCACTAAATTTAGCGGAAAAAAATCCCTCCTCCGCCTCCTCCCCCTTCTCCCTCGTGACGTCACACGCGATGTCACATGTGACGTCATTATGAAAATCTTCCCATGATGCAACGCGCGGCTACGCCGACGCCAACGCCGCTCAAGCCGGAAATGGGCGCCTTAGAGCTGTGCTATAAAAGAAGTAGGTTATAAGATTGGTGGAGAAGGTTCAGAGAAGCGTGATAGTGCAAAAAACTGCAACGAACCGCAGAAACAGTCCCATTTTTTCTCTCTGCCTCGTCGTTCGCTCTGCCGATCGCTGTGGTTGGCTCTCCCAGTGCCGGGTGAAAAAGCGCGTTACACTCGCAGTCACTATCGCGAGCTGATTAGCCGATCATACAAAAGTCACTGGATGGAAATGATATCAGGGAGTTTTAGAATCAGGCACCACACATCTTTTGGTCCCCCAAACAGCTTGGGGCGTCGCACATCCCATGGTCAGAACTACTGCGCTTGCACAATGCGACGCTGCATGCTGTTTTAGGGGACCCACACTCTAAGAAATGCCTGCGCGTCTACTTACCCGCAAAACACTCAAAGAGCCAATCATTGCGATCTAGGAAATCGGCTCAGCGAATGATGAGGATCCGTTTAGACCTAAAAATGAAGTCCGCGCTGTGACATTACGCAATGCAATGCAAAGTGTCATGCTTGCATTGCGTAATGCCACAGCGCATACTTCATTTTTAGGTCTAAACGGATGTTCCGCCTCATCACTCGCTAAGCTGATTTCCTAGATCGCAATGATTGGCCCTTTTGAGTGTTTTGCGGGAAGTAGACGTGCAGGTATTTCTTAGAGTGCAAAGCTTTGCTCGGCCCCCCTATTCTAAAGCTCTATTAACTTTAACGTGAGAGAGAGGCACGCCGGGGATAGGGTGTAAGCGAGATATCGAGCTGAAGTTCGCTTTCTGCGCTTGCGCTCAACAGCAGATAGCAAGAAAACAATAGGTGAAACTGAAGCGTCGTTAAAACAAGAACACGCACCAACCGAGACCCGTAAAACGAAGGGACAAACTGAGCAGTGCAGAACACCTATTTTCCAACTCACAGTCACGGGTTACCAAGTGATCGATGCTTGCTTCAATAACGTCCGAGTTGGCAAATCCGCAATAGCGCACAACGTGGCTTCAAACTCCCCCAAGACTTGCACCGCGAGCGGCGCAGATACTCGAAAATCCGGGCAATCAGGGAGCAAGCTTCTGTCGCCCGTATCGATGACGCCACGCAATTTGACTTGAAACAAGAGATATCTGCTCACGATATTGAGCGAAAATGAGATAAGCTGGATAGGGAGGACGCCAGTAGGAATGGCTGCGAGCGGCACGTGTGTCCATGCGATAGACGCAGACATGTACAAGTTACTAAAGAAAGTAACTAAGTTATTGAGTAGTGGCCTCAGAAGTAATTTTAGTGGAGTAGAAATTACTCAAATGGAGAGTAATGGAGAAAATCGCTAATCACCGTAAAAAAGTAGCAAATTACTTTTGAAGCCACTTTTATATGTTTTTTTTTTTTTTATTGTGACAGGGAATTAAGGAGGTTTTGATTCGTTAGCGAAATTATGCTAGCCAAATATGATTCGGCTTATTTTTTCACAGAAATGCTTTAATAGCTTGTTCTGCTTCTGCGTGCCCAATTGTTTTTTGTTTTTTTTTTGTAAATGATGTACCGCGAATGTATCATTTCTACTTTGAGGTTTAGCACTGTCTGAGCTTGACATTTTAGAGAGTGTTTGCATGTTTACAGTTTTCCGTAAAGTACACCTAAAAAGTACTTAAAGGAGGACCAGCAGAGATATTCTTCAGCCTGGCGGAAAGTCCTCCTCGCCCTCTTTTTTTCCCTTTCTCTCCTGTCTTGCAGCACGGCGAGGCGGGGGGAAGGGTCCCTTTTTGCGCCGGCTTCTTCTGAGAGGATAAGCCGAGAAAATCCCCATTGTGAGAGACGGGCGATGGGTTTGGCAGCAGCGACCTCGTGACTTACGGGTAGCTTCAGCTCTTATCGCGTAATCTGCCCTATTTTTTGGCGCTCGCCAAGCCTATACTCCGTTTCACCTTCCGTCCGAGCACAGCGGACGCTAGGAGCCATCCCAGCCAATGCGGCGTTGAGGGAATGTCATGCGACCTTGAGCTCCCTGCGTCGCCCCGCCTTACCGGCAGGTCACGCGACTTTCTCCCGGCGCTGGATCGGCTGGGATGGCTCGTGGCGTCCACTGCGCTCGGACTGAAGGTGGAACGGAGTATAGCCCCTCGGGCGTACGGTTCACGGAGCTGCAAGGCTGCGCCCTTCCAGACACCGAATTTGAGCTGTCGAGGTTGTTTGGCTGTAGCCCGTGGCAAAGGAAACATACTTCGGAGCTGCGGTGCATCCCCACACCCATTGAAGGTACGTTTCGTAGATATTCTCGGTTGATCAAGGAGCTTAGAACACATGCGCGAGATGTGGTGACTTCAATATGTGAGGTTGACTGACATATTCACAAAACATTCCATCTTCAAGAGACAGGCTTATTACGCTCAAACCTGCCTCAATTGGGATCGCTGGAAGACAGAACTATGTACCAGGCGCGGGCATCTTGTAGCGGATCTCTGTTTTCTAGCAGCGAGCACAAATTATTGTGTGCGTAACTCACACTATATGATGGCCAACAAATGTAGATGACATTTATATTTACACGTCCCAACAACCGCATGAGGTGAGAAGGCAGCAGTTGTGTGTGTCGATATTAAAAAAAGTTTTAGTGGATCGTTTTAGCTCTTGGATAACCGTATCCTACATCAATATATAAGCTATAGACCGACACGCTGTTTACAAACAAGCCCACGTTTGCCCACACCATGTGTGGGCACTGCGCGTGCGCAGAAACCAAATTTGGAAGGAGTGAAGCGTCCGCGCATGCGCAGTGCCGTCGACAGCGCCACCGCAGCTGCGTGACGTCAGGGCCGCGTGTTGGTCTATACCCTTTCTGTGAGCATTATTTATCGAGTGCGGCTATCGAAGCGTGTCGTGTTATAGTTCAACGTTGCTAAATCGGTGCTATAGCACGTGCTGCCGCTTTAAAGTATTTTTGAGCCATTAAAATAAAAGAATAAACTAAACGTAGGCGATTTTTTTTTTTAACATGAAACGCGTTTGTAATTTTTCATTGCAAACAGATTTTAGGTATACCGCCACACAGTTAGCAAGGACAAACTATCGCTGGTTTTTCTCGTTTTGTTTTCTTAGAAGTGAATGATGTTTAGAAAACTGTTAATGTGAGTATTCAACCTAAGTGGCAGAGCTTAGTGCTAGACAATACATGTTGCTGGGCAGAAATAGTAAAAAGCGCCAATGTCGCGTTCGGGCTAACACTGCCACGTAATGTACGAATACCGCTACAAGATCAGCGCAAGCATATTATGGGAATGGATTTATTACAGAATTTGTTTTAATAGGTGAAAGGTTGCATTCTTATACAAGCAATTCGAAAAAGAATGCTTCTATTGGGCGCCGCCAACGGTTCGGCAAGCTGGGCTAATGAATCGGGAACAATGAGAGCAGCATGCCGGCAGTCGCCATTTTCTCTAAGCGGAGTTTTGAGGCGATTCGACAATCTGTTGTCGCTGAGACGGCGTTCGTTAAAACGAGCCTCTCTAAACCGCATGCCACAACTTTGCGTACACTGTTTATTGAGTCGCACCTCCTTTTTTATCAAGCTCAACAGAGCGCTGTAGGGAGGCAGACAGATGACTTCGTTCAATGCAAACTTTTTTCTCAATTAGTTTTGTTTCAATCGAATTATATGCCTGTATAACTAACGTGGTTTCTCTATACTCCCTGTAGGTGTATAACGTTCAGCGGACGGCCAGATGGAGTGCACCGAATGTTTTTGCGCTCCGTGTATACTGACCCAAGGCCACGTGAGGGTGGGGATGGGCCAGGCACCGTCGTCCAAGAATCCTGGGGTTCGCAAGAAGTATTACAGAATGTACTGGGCCTGCCTGGCAAATCTGGCCGCTTGGCGTGACCCCAGGTACTTGGAGAAGAAGAGACAAGCCGGCCAAGGAGTATATACTAAGCGTGAATTGATGCCAGTGTGCGTAGTTGCACACGTCCGGTGCCTGTATCCAAACCCACCTGGTGTTCCCTACATGGGGCACATGTGGGAGTAAACTATTTGTGTATAAAGTCTCTGGATTCAGCGCCTTTCTTTCTGTGCCTAGTTATTAGTGCAGTGTTAGCACGTTAAATGTCTCAAATCTGTAGTCCACCTTTTTTTCTTGAAACACCTAGTGCGCATGCCCTCTATCCATCGTCCCTGCGTGGGTTCGGGAAAGCGTTTTGCCCCACCAAATTCGCCATATTATTTGTTCCACTCTGGTGAGGGGCGAGCCGCGTGAGTAACGCTGACTCGTGTAGCTCTTAGCAGGCTCTCGCCACCGAGTCACAAGTCGGTGCCTGCATCGCGACTGCTGGTTTAGGTGACCCGCGTTTCGTCAAGCTGTTTTTACAGCTTTCTTTCCGTGTCACCTTTTCAACATTGTTTTTCTTGGAAAAAAATAGAGGTACTATTATTATTGTAACCTCGCGTAAAGTTCAATAAGGGAGCACGACCTCGAGCGTTTTCAACAGCCGGTGGTATAGGTAGCAATGGGGCTGTACAACACTAGAGCGCACGTTAGAAGAACGCCGACATTAGACCGCCGACAGTAGAGCGCCACGACGTTAGCTCGCGCGGCATGAGAGCGCCGCAACGTTAGAGCGCACGACTCGAAAGCGCTGCGACGTTAGCGCGCGCGACTCGAGAGCACATCGAGAGCGCACAACCAGTCAAGCGCGAGTGGCCCAACCACTTCTTCGGGCATCGCGTGCTTTATGTAAAATTGGCGGGGATTTACGCCGTGGCATTTGGCAAGGACATTGCGAAATGAGTCGACGAATTTTTTTCGTGTAACAAACCAAGAAATGTTTAAAAAAACTGACAGCAAAAAAAAAAAAAAAGGATTATCTGTAGCGTATATTTCCGCAGAAAAAAAAATGCAGCTGATCTATATAGCTCCATTAGTTTTCTGATGTTATATCTCACAGATTTGAAGGGGAGGTTTTCCTGTATCCGTCAAAAGACTGAAAAGCTTTGCATCCGATAAAACTGCGCTGAGCTTTCCTTCGATGAGTGTTTTACTGAACTTTTTTAGCGGTGAGCTTTTTCCATTACGGTCATGGACGTCAAAATACTATTAAAGTTATGCGAGAAACGTCCCAATAACCGCCAAAATGATAGGGGTCCAAATGCCTGTCAAAAATAGACCAAATATAGCAAAAAGCAAACATTTATTGTATATCCGAGAGACGCACCGCACCACCGTGAAGAAATCTTAGACTCGCTGCTCCACCCAACTGCAGGCATTCCCGGTACCTATATGGCCACACCCTTGCCCCCTTCTCTCTTCTATGTCAGCAAACAATTGGTTAGAAGGAGCCGTACCCTTTTTATTTTTATTTTTTTATTAAAGGCATCTTTAATAAATCGAAAATCGCCAATGCTCCGATTCGATGAGTCGCACAATTTAGTTCTGTCTATGGAGCCGCGGGTACATCCCACAATTTGCAGTGTTCGCTCAACTGGGGTGCGCTCTCGTGACATGCGCTCTGGTATCAAGCGCGCTACTGTCGCAGAGCCTTCGCGTCGCGCGCTCTTACGTCGGCGCTCTAGTGTCGCGCGTTCTAAAGGTACCCTCCCAGCAATCGGCTGCCTAAATTACTATTGGCCGGATTCGGAGAAAAGCTTTTCTTTCACTTTCCGTGCGGTGATAATTTTCCCGTCATACAGTTGGCGTGGATACGTGACGTCAGCAGCGAAATAACACCACACACGGTCCCGAGTAAGGCTCGTACCGTCGGGAAAATTACGGACTTCCTGGTCCGCCTCAAATGCGAACAGAATTTCCTCATCTCAAAAAATCGCAACACGACAGCCCCGAAACGTAAATAACGTTTGCAAAATGCCGACGACAATATATACAACGCAAGCTAAAAACCAAAACTGAAGAAGCCATGGTTATGGTACCGCGGTACAAGAGCGCGATTTCTGGTGCGGATCCGTCTTGAACCCAGCCGCATAATTCTACAAATATTCAATCCTCTTAGGCAAGTGCATAAATTGCAAAATTATATTGCACATTTATTTTCAAAATAAATAGGGCATGGTGCGCAGAGGAATTGCTAGCTTAGTTTGTTAAAAAAAATTGGAAAAAACGAGAACGGAAAAACAGTGTATCACTCACTAGCAGACAGATATCGAGCCTAACTTAGATAAATATACGTATAACACCGAAACAAATATTGCCAATGCCAGAACACGCGCGGTGCGTCAGAAAATACTCGCAATATACTGTGCGTAAAAGGCTGTGCTTTTCTTGTGAGTCTCGACTGCAATCAAATTAATTTTTCTCTTCAGCTAATCTATTTTTTTATCGAAATTATTAATATCTCGTTCAAGACTCACGAGAGGCACAGCCAAGAGGTGATGTACATTCTGCTGAGCTCTGATCTATTTATGCGCTAAGTGTAAAAGGGTGAGCACTTTATATACTCCGAAACCCCTCGACGGGCGTTTATTCGGAATTTGTACTTCGGAAGATCACACCCTGGTTGAAGCTCTTTCGCAATCGTATGTACCGGTTAGCGTTCACTTTCTCTTGTGTGGCATCTGTATTTGGCAACGACAAAAGATTGTCATGAAAATTGTATATTTGCATAATAATTACAGGTACATCTTTGAGTCCGCGGAATGGCTTTTTCTGTCCCTTGTCCAGTGATGTCCCGAGCTGGGAAATAAAAACAAACAAACATGTAGAAGTACACACAACAATTGCCCAACTGTTCTAATGAAATAAGCTTGCTTGTTATTATACGTCAATGGTACTAGTTTAAATTTACATTAGGCCTACCTATAAGTTATACACTCTCGTCATTCACAAGGGAGTCGTCATTCACCGTGCTGGCATCTCCCAGGGCAGCAGACCGAAGTACCAACTCCCGAATCTTTTGAACGAAGCTGGAGGAAAAGAATAGAGGATTAGTATTCCATGGCAACACTGTACACTTCAAAATATTCTACCTGTATGTCTTCCTGAAGTACTTCCTTTTCCCGCCTTGCCGGTCTGGATGACGACAGTCCTCAATAGAGTAACGTGAAGTGTAGCCTCGCCCAACATGCTCATTCCAGTCTAGGAGTGCCAAGCTCTGCCTCAGTTTGTAGCTTCTGTCCTGGTAATGAATCCTCTTCTGGAGGTAAATTAGCATAGTATTATTGAATGACTCTACATAGAATGTATCCTTCGACTTTACGTAATCTTCCGCGTTCTTGTAGATGGTTGTTGATTTCAGAAATTTTGTTAGAAGTTCCGACGCTAGCGGGTCTTTCACGAGCAGCGTTGTCGGGACATGTCCATTTTCTTTGCAAATTGATTCCTCGCTGCATTTCTCGTGTTTACCTTCAAAATGGTTTACGCAGTTTATGAAAATATCTCTTAGCTTGGTTGGATTCCCCTCACAAGCGGCCATAGCATAGTACGCGTGGTTACGGACCGCTTGGCACTTGTCGGACAGCTCCACGTGCCATGTCTTGCCCTCGTTCCTCTTCGGTCCAGATGAAATTGCAAGAAATCCTTTCTTGAGGCTCTTCGCAGCGTGCCAGCGGTCGTTGGAGTTGGATGGCCCGTTTTTTTCTCTGATTATTTTATTGACTGTGGTGTTGCGGTCGTGTGCGTGATCTAGCACGGAGATCTTTTTAGAATCGAAGTACTCGTACAGCTTTTTGGTACCGAACGCTTCGTGCTTTTGGGAAGATAGTTCATCCTTTTTGCTTACGTGAACAATCCCTACAACTTTGTGGGTCATTTGGCCAAGCGCGACGACATCTGTGTGAGTGGAGTTCTTCCGGCAAGCGTGCCGAGCATCAGTCTCGACACTAATTGCTGTCGAAGTGGGGTCATGTTGCTCGGTGGCCCTTGATTCGCCCTCTTGCGCGGCTGCCAGGCTTTCAAGCTTGAGCAACTCTACAGCACCTTCGATATCTACAAGCAATTTCTCCACAGTGCGAGGGGAGTATGGCAATTTGCTAAAATTGCAAAACTTTTCAAACTGCGTCGCCAGAACTCCAGAGGAGGCATACGCCACCGTCAGCAAACAGTCTACAGCCCGGACGGAACCGACAACCGTGCTTGTGTTGAGCACCAGTGAATGGTTAATACACTTACAATGTATTCGTGATGCGAAACCCCAGGCGGTCACTTTCTCCAAAATAAGACTTTCCTTGCACTCTGAACTATGCTTCTCTACAGTCTGAATGACATTCCATAGCGCGGCTTTGTCGCAAACAACTAGGCATGGATCCCCTACAGGGTCAGGCGTGATCGCGCGCGATTCCGCTTCTTGATGCAGCGGCTTCGGTGTGTTGCACACAGCATTCGACGATCGTTCTTCTGAATTCCGTGTTTCAAGAAATCGTCGCAGCGCCTTGATTATCACAGCTGACAACGAGTCACACCTATTAACGGCTTTGGCTTGCTTTATCAAGTCGTCAAAAGCAGTCATCTCCGAGGGTTCAGAAAAAGTGAGGTTCAGGCTTCGTCGGAGATTGCTACGGTTACACACGTATACTTTTTCAGTTCCATCTCGCATACGCTTCTTGATCAAGTAAACAGGGGAATCTGACTTTTCGCTCATCTTGGCCTTTGGCGCGACTGTTTAAAGTTCTGAAACAAACAAAGCAAAAGTGATTTAATTAACTGAAGATTATAGGTTGAGCGAACTATTTACAAAATTTGAGGTTCCCTGAGCAGCCTTTTGTATTCAATTCCCCCTCCCCTCACCACCCCACTTCCTTTCCTCTAAATAAACAACGTAGATTATTTCATGAACCACCAGTAATAGAGTGTACTCGCAAAATGTCTATTTGATGTAAGAAAGGCCTTGTTTAAATGTTCAAGCAATGAACTGGTCTTATTACTGTGCGTGACACGCTAAGCACGAACACAATATTGCCATTTCTACTCAAGGGCCATGCAGAATTTAGTATACAAGAACAAACTGATGCCTCGTAGGTTGGTGCCCAATGGAAGCACTCCTTACCGAATTGATTATATAAAAATAACAAATTTTCAACTATAAAAAATTAACACCACTTTTTTTCCCTAACTTTGCTGATTTACTCCGTTTCCGTTGATTGTGTAGCGGTACGCGTACATTACGCGACACTGTTCGCGCGAACAACATCGGCGCTTTTTGCTATTTTCCACAGCAATGTATTGGCTCGCACTAAAATCTACCGCTTAGGTTGGATACTCGTATTAACAGCTTTCTAAACATCATTCCTTTCTAAGAACAAAAAAAAAAAAAAAATAGGAGGGAGGAGAAAGACCGGCGATAGTTTGTTCGTGCTAACTGTATGGTGTAAGGCGCCTAAAATGTTTTTATAATGTTAAATTACAATTCTGTGCCACATTAAAAAAAATTGTCTGCTTTTGCTTTAGTCTTTATTTGAGACACAACAAATACTTCAAAGCGGCGCGCGGCCCGTGCTATAGTACCAATACAAGCAAAGTTGAACCATAATACGACACGCCAGACTCGCCAATATTGCGTTTCCCACTCCATAGCCGCACTCGATAAAGGATGTTCACAGCGAGTCTAGCTTACATATCGTTGTGGGGTACGGGCCGTACGGTCATCGAAGTGCTAAAAGCGACCCACTAAAACTTTGATATTGACATCCACACCAGAAATGCCCTCTCACCTCAGATGGTTGTTAGAATGTGTAAATATGAATTTCATATATTTTGCAGGCCGTCATGTTCTGCGAGTTAGACACACAACAGGAGATTCTAGTAAATCGTTTTCAAAGGCCCACTACCACTTTAGACGCGCGCTTCAGAGAATGCATCGAAGTGGCAGCGCGAGTTTCCGCTAAATATAGCGTGGCCTGAAAACATACTAAAGTTCCCAATAATTTGTGCCCGCTGTACGAAAACAGAGATCCGCTACAAGATGCCCGCGCCTGGTACATAGCAATTTGCGGCAGGTTTGAGCGTAATAAGCCGGTTTTTTTGAAGATGGAATGTTTTGTGAATATGTAAGTTATCCTCACATATTGAAGTCACCACATCTCGCGCATGTGTTCTGAGCTCCTTGATCAACCAAGAATATCTATGAAACGTACCTTCAATGGGTGTGTTGAAGCACCGCAGCTCCCAAGTATGCGTTTATTTTGACACGGGCTACAGCCAAACAAATTTGACAGCTGAAAATCGGTGACTGGGAGGGTGCAGCCTTGCAGCTCCGTGAAACCTGCCCCCGAGGGGCTAGGCTTGGCGAGCGCCAAAAAATAGGTCAGAGTACGCGATAAGAGCTGAAGCTACCCGTAAGTCACGAGGTCGCTGCTGCCAAACCCATCGCCCGTCTCTCACAATGGGGATTTTCTCGGCTTATCCTCTCAGAAGAAGCCGGCGCAAAAAGGGACCCTTCCCCCCGCCTCGCCGTGCTGCAAGACAGGAGAGAAAGGGAAAAAAAGAGGGCGAGGAGGACTTTCCGCCAGGCTGAAGAATATCTCTGCTGGTACAAAGTAAATGAGAGGTTATGTACTCCAAGTAAAGTAGTAAGTATACCTGGTGCAATGTACTTGAAGGAACCTACTATAAATGCAATACATTTCAGGTAAAGTACAAATGCTTTTAACACGATCTTTCATGATGCCTTTTCATTCCCTATACAGTGTTTTTTAACTGGTATGCATTGCTCCAGGGGTAATCGGAGGTCCATCAGTTTTTTACGGAAACCGTCGGCAGCAAATATCGTATAAACTTAAATCGTCCCAGAGTAGTTGTTTTACTCTGACTGACGAGCTATTTAACACAATCAACTTAAAAGGCATTTGTGTCGGTATTATAGCCGCGATTACCTGACTCGGAGCCACCTCGGTGGCTCCGAGGCGAGAGCGCTGGCCTACGGATCCCCATGTGGCGGGTTCGACTCCAGGCCGAGGTGGCCGCAATCTGACGGAGGCTTATTGCGGAGAAGACGCCGTGTAACCGAGCTTTCGGTCGCACGTCAAAAGATCCCCAGGTGGTCGAAATTAATCCTCAGTTCTCCGCTGGGGCGTGCCAGATACCCGCCGTTGGTTTGGCAAGCAAACCCCCCAAATTTGACTTTTGATTACCTGACTCGGAGAAATGACCAGATGACATCTCGAAAGAGCGCGTTATCACACGCGATACGCCATTGTTTGTTTTCAAATTCGGGGAATGAACATTGAAGTCGGAAGTTTTACTTTCAAGCACCAGAAAAAAAAAATTAGTAAAGTATAAGAATATGCTCAGAGAATGTACTTCAAGTAAAGTACACGTTTTCTAAACAGTAGTGCTTTATGTACCATGTACTTAGAGTACTTCCCAACACTGCTTGTTTATTATTGTTTATATAAAAACGTTGGGGGAATTACTAAGGTTTATCAAACGATCTTCGAATCTTTGAAGATGTGCATATTCTGAGTTTTGGGAGAAAAGGCAACGCGAAAAGTTCACATTTGCGTTGCCCTCTCGCACCCGATTCTTCGAGTATAGAACAAACTGCGGGAGAATACCATGAGCGGCTATAAAGGGAAATCCGGCGCCAGGCACCAGGATGCCATGGAAGAGTCGCAAACGAACTAGACCAAAGAGATCTTGGCTGGTCCTCTTTTGAGGCACGGGAGGCCAGCAGCTAGTTGGAATACTACGCCCGATTGTGACACATGAATGGAGATTGCTCGGCACGGCAGGTTTTCTTGTACATTCAACTAAGAGGCGCGCACACAACATGGAGACGCCATACCATCTGACTGGGGACGAAGTACGGGGTTTCTTAATGTCCGACGAGCCTCCGACAAAGAAAGAGTGAGTTTCAGCGGTGAGAGAGCAAATTCAGACCGTAGAGGCTGACCGGTGGAGAGCAGACATGCAAGAGCATTCAAGCATGCACCTTTACGCGTCTTTCAAGCCCACCATTGCTCCTATATCCTCTGGCGTGTTGATACACTGGACAGAAGGCTTCTCGCTGAGGCCCGAGGTGGCGCCTTGCGTGCCCGCCTGTATCGACGAAAGTACGACAGCGACGTAACCGACACACAGTGGAGTAACGAGAAAAGAGTCAAAGTACAGGCTAGCTGGTGAAAGTCAACTACCTGTCTGTTTTTTCTGTTACTTCTGCTCTTCAAAAAAAAAACCCAGTCTCAGGGTAAATGACGAAATGGTACACAGTGGAGTGCTTGTGGAAAAGTGGAAGAAACTATATACCAGTTTGTTCTTGAGTATCCGACACTTGCACTTGCAGCAGACCTCGGCGCTCGCATCGAGCAAGCCCTCGGGTTTACCGAGGAGAACACGTATGTGCATGCTCGAAGCGGAGACTCGAGGCCTGCTAGGCAGTACATTGTTGAAGTTCAACTAGAAAATACACTCTGCTTTCTGACTTCTTTCTCTTTTTTTTTTTGCGTGTTTATTCAGTAGACGTTTGATTCAAAGGGAATCGCCGCATAAATACGTACATGCATACACGCACGCACACACACACACATGCACGCACGCACACACACACATACATGCATGCATACATACATACGTACATACAAACATACATACAAACAAACCAGACCAAACCAGACCAAACCAAACCAAACTAAACCGACCGCTCCGGTTGTTTCTCCCCAACGGTGGTCCCGCATTCCCTCGTACACCGCTTCTTGTTGTACCTCACCGCCGCCATGCCGCCAGCAAGTTGCCAGAGTCCGTAAATGTGTTATCTTCCTCCTCCTTCGGGTTAAGGCTCACCTTCTTACACGAGGGTGTCACCTGTGATCGACGCAGCACCAAAGCAAAACATGAGGCCAACCACTGGCCGCACACCACCACCACACCACCCCACCGCAAAAAAAGGCGAGCACGCCACGCCGCCGACACCGTGGCGGCCGAGGAGGAACCTCATATCTACGGTGCTCATAGCTCAGTGCCCTCCGCGGCGATGTGGGACTTGTTGAATAACCTTAGGTAGGTATACGACCTTAGCTGGGGTAATGACGAGACAGTCATTCGAAGCATCCGAAAACGGTCGTGGTTGTTTTTTATATGTCTCACGAGAGCGCAGCCAGCTCTCGAGACAAACCCACGCGCTCGTGCGCAGCGCTCGCAGACTTGCCCGCCGGCCGTGTGCCGGTAGATACATCACACCCCTTCCTCCTTAGACGTGGGCACCGTACCTGTCCGGTGGTCGACGCGCCCGGGAGCTCACTGGCGTCGCGGTTGACAAGGCAAATCCCACTGTTGGTAATGGGCGAGCGTCGTCGTCTGTGCTGTGCTGTATAGTTGTTTGTTCTGGACCATTCGCGCCCGAATGTGTGCCCTGGCGATCGTGTAAGCTCATGTCCCAAACTGGTGGTGGCGGCTGTGTCTCCCAGCAGCTCGAATTCGGAGCGCGATGTCGAATATGGTTTAGATGTCGTCTGACTTGACCCCGCTCTGTGTCAACCATCCAGGATCGTGGTCCGGCGCGGCGTGCGATGGACCCCGGCATCCACTTTCGCTCGTTTGGGAACTGTCGAATCCACACGGGTTGTCCACGAATAAATTTGTGGATATCGCTGTTTTCTTCAGGCAACTGCTTGAAGAGGGATGACTTGAGTCGATCCAGTGCAGAAGGCAATTCTCGGCCGTACATCATCCACGCAGGAGTCTTGCCCGTTGTTGTGTGCACTGTCGTGTGTTGCTTGAATAGGAAACGTGACAACGCACACGACAGGTCTTCCCTTCCTTTTTTCGATACAGCTTGTTTGAGCTCCTGTACCATCCGCTCAGCCTGCCCGTTGGTTGCCGGGTGGTAAGGTGCGCTCGTGACTGCAATGATGTTGTTCATGCGGTAAAACTTCGCAATTTCTTCTGAGATGAACGCAGCCCCGTTGTCTGAACAAACCTTCTTTGGCACTCCAAATGTGGCGAATAATCCCCGCAGCTCCTTGATTACAGCGCTTGATGCCATGCTGCTAACTACTCGCACCTCCAGCCACTTGGTGTATGCGTCTACAACGACCAGAAATACTTTCCCTTCCACTGGACCCGCAAAGTCCATGTGGAGCGTATCCCAGGCTGTTGATGGTCGTTCCCAATTTGTCATCGGTACTTTTATCTTGGTTTTCTGGTTTGTTTGACATTGGGCACATTCCGCCACATATAATTCAATATCTTTGTCAATTCCTGGCCACCACATGTAACTTCTGGCACAGGCTTTCATGGCCACGATTCCACGATGTCCTGAGTGTACAAGAGTCAAGGACTCAGGCCGCAGAGACGCTGGTATCACAACACGTGATCCCCATATCAAACATCCTCGCTGTGTCGCTAGTTCAGTGTCCTTGTTCCTGAATGGTTGAAAGATGTCTTCCTTAAGGTTTCTAAAATTTCCACTCTGAACTGCGTCGTACACACGGGAAAGAGTAGCGTCTTCTTTTGTCTTGTCTGCTAGTTTCTCGACAGTAATCGGTGGCCTGGTCAACGCTTCCAGCATGAGCACATCTCCGGGAGGCTGTGGCTCGTCGTCGCTTGCCGGTAAAGGTAGTCTGCTCAAAGCGTCTGCATTGAGCAGACGCCACAGCCGGAGTTTGCCCAGGGCGCATGATTGTTTAGGGCTGGCCCTGCGCTCACGACATTTATATTGGCCTTCGTGGTGGTCATGTATAGCGCATGATGATCCAGACTTGTCCCTATCTCAAATACTCTACTCAAGATACTGTATCTTAAATACTTTTTGGAGTATCTTGGTATCTAGCAAATACCTTTGATAGAAAGTATTTAATACTCTATTTAAATTACAATTCCGAGTATCTTGTACTGATTATCTTAAATACATTTTTGACATTCCACCATTTTCCGAGTTTTTCGGAATGAAGTGGGTCGGGCGTGGCACGAGCAAACGTGAACATTCTTTCGAGCAACCGAATCCTGTTGCCAGCTCCGATTAGCTACAGTGGCTTTAACTGAGCTCGATGAAAATATCGCTTTTTTGCCGACTGTGACTCATATTTCAGCCCAAAGTTCGTACAATGAAGGTTCTCCCCTTGCCTTCCCAAAGGCGCCTTTTATTTCTATAGAGTTTCCCCCCCAAAAAAATCATCAAACCAAAGGTTTGGTTTTACGGAAATAAAGATGCACAAGTAGACCGGGAAACGACCTACGAGAACAATGCAGACTTAAGTGTCAAGAAATAACAAATAGAAGAAAATGAGAAGTGGACAGACACAAAAAAGTAGACATTTTTGTTTTGCGTTTTGTATATTTGACCCCGCTAAAGCAAAACGTCGATTTTTTTTTTTTTTAGTTTGACACTTATTGCTTTTGCGAACACTGTCTGTAAGGGAACTTTGAGAAGCAGAGAACAGTACAGGAAACGAACTGCGAGCTGGACGACCTCTCAAAATCCCAAAAAAGCGCCCCCCCTTCCCCCCCCCCCCCCCCCCCAACGCTGAGTGCCTTTCTGAACGCAACCTACTTGAAGAAGGCGCGACCACTGCCGTGGCTATTATGTGGGTTCTCTTTGTTATTCATTCACTCATATCTGTGTCCCAAGTTCGTTTATAGTAAACGAACTTGGGACACGGAAGTATAGGGAATATGTATTGTAGTAAAACGATGCGTCTAAGGTGCGCCGCAGGATGTGATATTCAACGGTGTCACTATTGGCGAAGCGCTCTGACCCGTTTGTCACCCACACCTCGGTGTTTACCCAACGAAAGGCCTATGCACATGCCCACAGGCCTTGTGGGCATGTTCCTGTCATCTTTTTTAATAGAGAGCGGGGCATAGTGTAATGAACAAAATACCAACAAATAGTGAAGTGACGTTAAGTGCCGGATCTCCCCCGAAAGCAATCGTCAGAGGATGCGAACTTGACCCACTTGGGCTTGTGTGCTAAGCTGGGCAGGGTGCATGCTGCATTGTTCATGCAGGCCGGAGTGGTAACAAAAGAGCCCCTCCTCCCTCTCACCCAAGAACACGAACTCCAGCCGAACGCTGACGCAGCGTTCGGTTAAGTCAGCCGAGCCATTGTATTTGTTGCCCCCTCCATCTAGTTCTAAAGTTAACCGCTTGAGGCGCCACGGTCAGATCTCCTCCCCAATACGCTATAGCTAAAGCGACCTCTTTCTTGTTGTCCCAGAAATGTTTTGTAATATCTGTTAGTGATATTGCCACCTGCGTTGCCCAACTTGGCCGAATGGTTACCGTGCTTGGCTCTCGCGCGGAGACTCCGGGTTCGATACCAGAAAGCCGGACTTCTTTTATTTATTCCTTCAATTTGACATTCTGGTAAGTTCAACAATTTTTTCGTCTGACTGAGTTCGAATGTTCTACGCGCCGAACTTTTTACACCGAATGTTCCAGAAACCCACGCGGGTACAAAAGGTGCTCCGAGTGACGGTCCGGAATCAGTCTGGCCCCAGCGGTCGATCCTGTTGTTTCGCCGACATCGACGCCTGCTACGTTAGCCTTTCTGTCTTTTGTTTTGGGAACAAGTTCGCCCCATTAAACGTTTAGTTTCTTCAGTTATTCGGCGCCTCATAATTTATCATTCGTGACAATATTTTGCTCCGACTGCATAAAATAGCCCTACGATACTTTTTTTTTTTCGTTTTGTGTTGTTGCGTGCTAATAAACCATTCTGATAACCCAGATTTACGTAGTTTCATAATTGTCGTTGTCAATGACGTCGATACAAGTTAAGCAATGCGGAAGTATCTTCAAAAGTAACTGAAATACATTTCTAAGTATTTGTACTCTACTCAAGATACTTTACAGTGAAAGTAACTTGAGTAGTATTTTAAATACTTTATGACGCAGGTATTTAGTAACTTAACTACTTTTATCGAGTATTTTGTTCAACACTGAGTGTATCACACGGGTCGCACTGACGTCACATCACAAGCTTTTGACCACCATGTAAGAGGAGGAGAGGGAAGCTGCTTTTGTAAGAATTTTGAGTGACGGGGAGGAGAGTAGCGACGTCTGTGGAAATGCGGGAGGCACAAAAGAGGATCCTGATAAGAGGGGAGCTTTTTCTTCCCCTTTTCTCTAGTGTTCATTGGAGCGCTTTTTGAATGACCGTCACGGGCAGCAGTTTCTGCTACCGCCGAAGTGAGTACAAAAGCTGTCAGCTCGGGCGATCAGAGGCGGATTCCAACGTTCTACGGAAAAACACGAACAAGGCAACGCAGCGACGGGCTTTGGCACCTAGGATAACAAACAAACAAGCTTACCTGTATCAAACCACCGGAGTGAAGCCAGTTAAGATTATGAGTCACTTATCTTCGCGGCGGATTCAAGTGACAGACGTGAACATGACGTTTCTTCGCTGACCTGCGAGCTGCAGCGCTAGAACTACAGCGCTTAGGACGGCACACTAGAGACGACTGCCATCTCGCTTCTGAAGTCACCGACGTCACGTCAGCGTCGCGTTGCGAGTGGTTACCGCTTCGCGGTTCGCGAAAGCGGTTGGGAGGAGTCGGTCCCAAAGCGGTTGGCAAAAACGCGTTGAAAACGCGGTTGAAAACGCGCGGATCCGCTTCGCGGTTGCGAATCTGCTTCTAGTGTGAACGGACCACAAGGTAAACTTATGAACCGGTTTGGGCCTGTTCGCGCTTGGTGGAACCGGTAACCGAACCGAAATTAGGTTTCAATGACTGAACCCGAACCGAACCGGAACAAGATACAAAACCGCTGAACCCGAACCGGAATTATGCCCGGTTCGACACCCTGGTTACAACCGAAAACGCACGAGGCTGCCACAAAAGAATGGTTTATTTTTGTTGCCGAGCCCTCGTGTCAAATATGAAAGGAAAACAAATGAAAGCCGAAGGGCACTGCAATTTATATAAGATATAAATATATAATAAAACATAAAAGGGAATTCACAGAATCACAACGGGCACTGCCTGCAGTACAGGCATAGATCGTTTAAACTACAAAACGCACCGCGTTCAGACAGTGGTTTCAAGTTCCTTTCAGAGAATGCTTCTGCAGTCAAATCGTTTTGTACATGGGAAAGGCAGAGCTCAATAACTCGTTGAGATTGCGCGCACGGGAAAACAGGTGCTTGTCTTTACAAAGTCACACAGCAGAATTAACTTCAGCTCTTCGTTTTCTGCCATGTCATGGACGGATCGCAAAAGCTGACCAAAGCAAGCCGTGTCTTATTCAGATTCGCTGGAAACTATAAACGCGCGGACGGTCCTCAAAAAAAACTTCCAAAAAAGAAAAAAAAAAAAAAACTCACAAAACCAAGCATACTATTTGGCTTCTATGTTGATTTATATTTAGTGTACAACGCTGTCAAAGCTGCTGGCGCGAGCATGGGCTTTTATCTCGCAGATTATTGCACGCGTTCTTGCGCCAAACGGAATTATAAATAAAGTCATGCGCTCGCGCCAGAAGCTTTGACAGCGTTGTATACTAAGTATCAAACGAAGTATACCTCTTCGTTCGCAACCTAGAATAATCTCCTACCGCTTGTCACAGCACATTCCATTCGCCTTTCCAGCCTAAGGCAGGCCAGGTTTAAGCGTTAACAGAATCCGACGTTGCTCTCGGCATCGCAGGCTGCCGCGTCTTCCCAAACGACACCTCGATCTCTTCCAACGTCTTGCCTTTCGTCTCTGGAATGAAAAGCAGCACCAGCAAAAACCCTAGCGCCATGTTAGCGCCGTAGAACCAGTACAAACCGTCGTTACCCAATAAGTACATCGCGGAGTGATACTCTCTCAAGATCAGGGCGCCACACCCGAAGTTGAAGGCGGTCGAGATGCCCGTCGCGAAGCCCTTGATGTTGGGCGGCAGCATTTCGCCCATCAACATCCACGGCAACGGGCCCAGCCCCACAGAATAGCCCAGCATGTACACGCACAACGCCAGCAGTGGCAGCCAGCCGTACGCCGCGACGAAGCTCGGCCCGACGCTGTCCTTGAGGTGGTAGAAGGCTCCCAGGGTAACCAGGCTCAAGCAGGACACGCTACAAGAAAATAGCAGAAGTATCTTCCGGCCGAGACGATCGATGAGCAAAGTGGCCAAGACCCCACACGCGACCTGCACCACGCCGACGATAATGGCACTGTCTGCGGACGCTATCGTAGACCCCGCCGTCTCGAAGATGTCTTGGGTGTAGAACAGTACAATGCTGATGCCGGAGAACTGCTGGAGGAACATACCCAAAAGCACGCACAAGAAGGGCTTGTAAACGTACGGAAGCTTGAAGGCGGCCAGTGAGAACGCCTCAGGGACGGACGAGTGGGACTGCAGCATCTCGAAGCTCTCCTTGGCGCCGTCGCCTTCGTAGAACTGCAAAGACCTCATGGCTTCCTCCGAGCGCCCAGAGTGGAAAAGCCAGCGGGGAGACTCCGCTACCTCGGGCATGGTGAGCACGTTGATGACTGTAGGGACCATGCACGCTGTGGCCAGCCATCTGTAGTCGAGCCACTTGCCCAGGACATACGCTAGGAGCACTCCGGAAGTGACGGCGATGGTGCAGATGGTGTTCAGGATGCCCCGGATGTGGGCGGGGCTGACTTCCGACACGAAGACCGGTACCACGAGTGCCGTGATGCCCGTCGAAAAGCCGGTTAGTGCGCGGCCGGCGAACATTAGCCCCGGATTGGGTAGCATCTCGATGAGCAGGAAACCCAGGACAAAACCCAGCGCAGCGAAGAGGATCGTGTCCTTCCGGCCGATTCTGTTAACGAGCTGTCCTGTAAAGGCGAAGAATGGATATCGTGGGCTTTAGTGACATATCGCTGACACCTTAAGAAATCCGGGGCGCGGCGAGACCCGGCCCAACATCTTACAATCACTCCCTAAACATTATCTGATAACGGCGCCCAAGAACGAACCACGAAGCAAGGTGCAAAGCTGAGCCTGATTGGTTCTTCCTGATAAAATCTATAACGATGCAATAAAAGAAGGGCCAACAAACGGGATACCTCGCTTCTTTTCTCGTTTTTAGGCGTTGGTTCTATTTTATAACTATACTTATACAAAGGCAGGTGGTTATCCATAGACGACGTAGATAACTTACCAATCATTTATACATTTATTTGATTAATCTACTCGCTATTCGTCCCAACTTAAAGTATCGAGGTAATTGAAAAAAACGTAAAGCTTTACGAGTATAGCGTTATGGCCGATTCCGATGCTCCGCTTTATACTTGTAATTCTAGACCTGCAACGTTTTCTCGCGCAGCACAAAAAAAAAAAAAAAAAAAAAGAAAAAAAGTTGCAGGAGTAGCGGCAATTGCAAGATTGCAAGAAAATTTGCACCATGTAAACCCGGCTTTACTTGTTGCCACGAGCACCGCGTAATGTCCAAGTCTGGACGTGTGCGGCCTGCGGTAAACTACCTCCTGCGAGTCCTCCGAAGAGAGCTCCGATCGTGACGAGCGATCCGAACCAGTCCCCCTGGCTGTCGCTGAAGGGCATCCGGCGTCGGATGTCCGGCAGGGCAGGCGACGAGTAGCTTAGCGTCAGGCCGAAAGACAGCGCCGCCATGCAGGCCGAGCTCACCGCCAGGTACAGGCGCACCCGGCCCCGCCGTCCATGCGAATCGGACTCCGTCAGGGCGGTTGTGTCGTCCATCTGGAACCGGTGATCCCCTGCGGAGGACGATCGAAACAAAGAAAATCTATTCACTTCGCCAGAAGTGCGGTGCTTGCAGCGCGTCTCCGACTGGTTTGTTTACCGCAGGGTGTCGACCCGAAACTAAACCGTTATAGTTAGGCGAAGCGACACTGAACCGAAATCGTCGTCGCCATCTTAAAAGGAAACCCCAAACTGAACCAGAAAAAAATATATATATATTTAACGGTAACCGGTTAAAAAATGGTTCCGCCAAATATTTCTATTTTTTTATGTTAATACTACGAATTGAATATTTGAGAATAAAACAAATAGGAGCTGTATCGTATTTAGCTATCAAATCGCCAAACACAGAGTTATCAATGTATAGACGCTTTACGCACGCGCCAGATTACAGCCGCCATTGCCGACCTTCTCTTGTCTTACCAGGATGCCGAGCCAGTGAAGTGGGCGTTGATAAGCCTCCACAAAGGTCAACGCTGAGGAGAAGGACGCAATAAAACCTAAAATGAGAATGACCTGACCTTCAATGGCAATGATGAAGTGAAGTAATCGGAATAAGAGTAAACAGAAACTGAAGGTCAGTTATGGCGGCGCCCATGCACAGCTACTGCAAAGCGTCTATAAGAAATGGTGGCCATTCGTGGCGTTTTTTTGTTGGCATTCTGATCAATCATGTCAGCGTCACATGATATCATGCGGCGTGGTCTTGTGACATCATGGCGTCAAGTCGGAAATTGTGAAAATGAAAGCCTCGGCAAACATTCGAGTAGTCGGTTGTGACCAATTAAAGACGAGAATAGCCGAACTCTAACGCCGTATTCACACTGGCGGTTGAACCGCGTCTGCCAAGTTGCGGACGCAGTTCACGGTTGCTTAAAGGAGCGATGCAACAATTTTTGTACTTTGCGCAAATATCGCTTAAAACGGATCCCTAACGTTAATGACCTATGAAACACGCGTTCGTTTTTCACTTCACGCAATAGAAGTCCCAGAAAAAAATTAAAGAAAAACGAGCAGCGTTCACCCCCTCAACTCGCAGCCAGAACAAGCGGCCACGCGATCTGGAGCCGATTATTGGGTGGTTGTGTGTGTGTTTATACAGCCTAGAACTTGGTCTGCCTCACATGGGCGACGAGTCTCCCAGCTGTAGATGAGAAATTTAGCCAGTGCGGCACAGCCGCTAGCCTGGGGTCTTTAACGTGCACCACGCAGTAGTGATACACGACCGCACGCCGGTACGATGCTCATCCAGATCGAAACGGGCAGGGGTGGGGCTCGAACCCAGGATCCCTGGGTTCTGCAGCGCGAGCTTTCGCTCCACGTGCTCCGTGGAGCCGATTATATGCCGCCAGTGTTGATCATAGCCACACGCTGGGGTTGGCAAAGCGCAGGACACGCGCCGAGTTCCAGACATTGTTATGGCTCGGCTGTCGTCGTTGCAGCAATTGGACACGGGTCACTACCCGAATGCTTCTCGAGCTAGCAATTATCACGAGCCCAAGTCGAGTGCCCACGCAATGCTCGGGTCCCAATCTATGAACCGCATTCAAATATCGTCACTTGGGTGTACTGCGATCCCCACGTTACGTCATCAAATTTTGCAAGAAGAAGAAGAAGGTAAGGGCAGGAGGAGAAAACAGAGAGGTTAACCAAGGCGGCCTGCCTCGGTTGGCTACTCCGAGTTGGGGAAGGGGATGAGGGGATAAAAGAAGGAGGAAAGAGAAAGTAGAGGAGATAAAGGTAACATACTAGCACTCTCGTTAACACTGTTAAGGGCAGAATGAATAAATAAGGGAATGCCGCAGTTTCCAATATGACACTAAAACTAAGAGACTGAAAGTCTGTGCTGGATTGTCACCAATGTTCACCCAAAACACTCCGAGTGTTTGTACGCGCCAGTCCGAAGTTCAGTTGCACACATGTAAACTTACAAGAATTATAAAACGAATAGTCCTCTATACGACAACAAATAATCAACAGTAGATAACTTTTTACAAACAGAACTCGAGACGAGTTTCTGATAAAAATCGCAGAAGGGCGTTTGCGGCCTTCTCCTCTTTAAGTGGTGAGCCCCAGGCCCCTAGTATTTTGGACGTAGTAAATGGCCGGTCGTCTAGATGTGAAAGAGAACTCTTTAGTTCTCTTTCTGCATCGTAAAGTGCACATTCACATAATAAATGAGGTATAGTTTCCACACAATCACATCCCGGACAGTTCGGATTGTGTGTTTTTCCGATTCGGTGCAGAAATTCCTGTGTGTAGGAAACGCCCAGACGTAATCGGTGTATAACAGCTTCTGTTCGCTTGGGTAGGTTACGTGACACACGGTATGTTAGGTCAGGATCCAGTAGATATAGAGGAGGGTAATGGTGTGCAGAGCTCTTTCAGAGACTTTGTGTTGCATTTCGGGCGTGGAGATTTATCAATGAAGTGACGTCACTTCTGGAGTAGAGTATTTCGACGTTCGGGAATAAAGTATGCGCGGAAGTCGCAGCACCATCCGCAGCTTCATTTCCAGGTATCTTGCAGTGTCCAGGAATCCACTGGAACTCAACAGAGTGCCTCCTATCAATACATTTCTGAAGATGGCATAAACGTTCGAAAATAATTTGTCCATTTTCACTTCGTCGCAGGTATGTGCAGATGCTTTGGAGTGCAGGCTTATGGTGAATTCGCGTGGTCGCCTCTCTCCTCTGACCTCGATTCAGCAGAGCGCCCCCTCCTCGCCGCCAGAGCTACTCTGGATCCTTTTCAGCCGATCACAACTGCTGGCTTCAGAGCGCTCCGAGATTCTCAGACCACTCACGGAATTAATATTTCTTGACATTGGTAATACATTAAAAACAACACGATCTTACAGCGTGCGGTGGACGATTGAGCAAAATTTACGCTCGCAACGTGACGAAATAACTGTTGTGACGTAAATTTTTTTACGCATCGGCATGCAAAGAAAAAAAGAAAAAAAGAAAACAGCAGTATGCGAATTGATTTTCGCAGAACGGAACGAAAGCCAACGCTTGGAAATAGTTGTCGACTCATCGCGTTTTCGTCAGTGAACGCGCTGCGATAACGGTCATGCCTACGACCTTAGCCTCCTCTATACGGAGAAAGCCTGGCGCGTCGCGTGAAAAGACGGCCGCCGTAAATGGGAAAGGAGGGGCGGAGAAACGGGAGCGGAGAGAACCTTGCCCGCTAGCGCCACAAAAGGGCGAGCGGCCAAACGCAGAAACAATCTTTTTTTTTTTCTCACCTTTCTTGTCGCTATCGTGGAGAGGAGTAACTCAACGTCCACCCTTTCCCGTTTCTCCCTGCGCCCTTTCGAATCGCCGCGCCCGTTTCTCCCGGAGTACAAAAACGACGGTGACGAAAACACAAAAACAAGCGTGGTTCGGGGAGCGGCCGCTCATGACCCAAGCGCTCGCTGTCTAGGTCTCCCTTTCTGCTCTGCGCTACCATATTGGTCACCGTTCGGCGCGCTCCTCCTCTCCTTTTTCCTGCGGCCGCGCGCTCTATGGCTCCGTCGTTGAGGTGCAGGCAAATATAAAATGGTTAATAAACCGCATTTTTCTCACGGCAAAATATCGCGCAAGCATTGCCATGTGACACAAATCACGGTGCATTATATTCGGCTCTCCCTTTATTTTACAACACAAACCTTTGAACGCACTTTTACCAAACCTGAAAATTTCTTGAAGCGATCACAAAACCCGGTAAAACAGCGGCGAGCTCTGCGAGCTGTTTCTTCGTCGATTAGGCTTAGCGGATTCACCGCCGTGAGATGAACGATTTCGTGAAAGCACTGGGGATACTTCACACGTCGACTTTTCCTGTTACGGTCGCAAAGGAATGTCGTCCCGTCCGTCGTAATCCTCGCACCGTCGAATGCACAAGCACTTTGTAGAACCACATATCAATCGCCGTCATGCCGTACCCCGCACACCACCACAGACCGCTGCCGGCCATCGTCAACAAAACCACGTGATCCCCGTCCAAGTACCACGTGACGCCTGCGCCGCTCCGCACTCCGACGGCTACAGACAGAGTGCCAGGGAGCGCTCTGAGAGGGAGAGGCGCCCTCGGAATGAACCACCCGATCAGGCCACAGCACTCTCTCTCAACCACGCGATCTCGCGCGCTCTGCAAAGAGCGCTCGAGAGCGCGCGGAAAGAACCACGCGAATTCGCCATTAGAATCTGTAAACACCGGCCATGCCTGAGGTGGCTTTGTCAATATAAATCGAAGGGCTTAATGAAGTCCTACAAGTTCAGCCGCTGATGAAGATGTCTTGTGGCTAAGTTTGAAGTTTCTGGTTGTGACATACGATGGAATCACAATGCTTGCGGTAGAGCTATTTTTGACACATGATCCGTCCGTATATATGTGAGTTTTTGACGCGTGTAAACAGGTAATGGTGGATAAAGTGAGTTGCTTAAGCACTAGCAATGGTGTATTTGATTTCTTCTTGATGCCTTGAATGTCAAGTTTCACAACGGGGAGAGGGAGTCTCCATGGAGGTATAGTTGGAAGGTTAAGCGAGCCTATATCATCAGGGATGTATTGCTCCATTTTTGATAGTGCTCTTGAATACTCTGAGTGAGGTCGCTTATAAGTAAGATCAGCCAGTAAGTGATGACTATGATTAGTAATATGTCTTAGATGAACTCTCAATGTATCTCATATCTCATATCATATCAATGTATCTCAATCTCAAATTTTGCAAAGGAGAGATTGAATGAAAATGATTGCTTTTGTCTTTGAAATTACACCGCAACAAAGGGGTTTCTTAGCCAGTGGTGTTGCGTGTGAGTATCATTGAGTCCCAGGTGTGCCAGTAAGCTCGTGTAAAGTGAAAAACATTCCAATTGAATATCGTTGCACCGCTCCTTTAAGATCCAATACAATTTCACGCGCGTTTAATAATGAAAACGAGTAAATCCGCTTCGCGGTTACGATTCAAACTCGGGGCCCGAAGGCATTATACAGGGGGAGAGCAGGTACAAAAAGATGGGAGGAA